GCAGCAAGAACAGCAGCAGCAGAAACAGCTACAGAAGCAGCAGCAGCAACAGCAGATCTTCTGCCTGAATCCATGGCCTTCCGCCCATAGTCCCACCTTCGGATATGGGCTCGCCGCCGGTTCTGCGTTAACCGACCCATTTCAGGCCCCCGGCGGAGCAGACGCCTCCGACCCGGGATTTCAGTTCCTCAACTTCGAACAGTCCTGTGGGGTCTTCCCGTTCACGGATTTCGTTGGTGGAGGACCCGGCGGCGAGTTCGACTCGGATGAGTGGATGGATAGTTTGATGGGCGGTGGGGATTCCACGGAGAGCTCTAATCTTCAATCCGGATGCGACGCGTGGCAGGCTGGCTCCGAGTTCGGTGTATACGGTGCCGATCCTTTTGTTTGCCCGAGTCGACTCAGTGTTTCCTCCTCCGCGCATTCGGATCTCAATCGGGTTATTTTCTCCGACGGCCAGAAGAATGCTAATGTAGCTCCTCTTCTACAGCCGGCTTCCGATTGGGTGCCTTCTTCTTCGTCCTCGCCTTCGACAAAGCCTTCCGGTAACGACACGAAGCCCTCGAGCCCGGCCCACCAAGACGACGTCGCAGCAGCGCCAGTTACTACCTCTACCGCCTTAGCTTCGCCGGATAATCTGTCTTCGAAGCCATTGCTTAAAGCGTTAGTCGACTGTGCTAGATTGGCGGAATCGGAGCCGGAAAATGCCAGGAAATTGCTGGGTCGACTCAGAGAATCTGTTTCGGAAGACGGAGACCCGAGCGAGCGAGTTGCTTTCTACTTCTCCGAGGCGTTATACAGTCGGATTTCTCGGAATCCGGCGAAGATTCCCATGGCCGTCGATTCAAGTCTGGAGGAGTTCGCTTTGTCTTACAAAGCTTTCTACGACGCCTGTCCGTACACGAAGTTCGCTCACTTGACTGCGAATCAAGCGATTCTGGAAGCCACCGAGAAAGCTTCGAGGATTCACATCGTTGATTTCGGAATCGTCCAGGGAATTCAATGGGCTGCTCTGTTACAGGATCTGGCTACCCGACCCGCCGGGAAACCCGAATGCGTACGGATATCCGGCATACCCTCACCGGTTCTAGGGAAGTCCCCGACGGCGTCGCTTCTGGCAACCGGGAACCGTTTGCGTGACTTCGCGAAGATTCTGGATCTCAATTTGGAGTTCGAACCCGTGGAGACGCCGATCCATGAACTAAACGGGTCGGTTTTAAGGGTTGACCCGGATGATGTACTGGCCGTAAATTTCATGCTTCAGCTGTATAATCTGTTAGACGAGACCACCGCCATTGTCGAGACCGCACTGAAGCTCGCGAAATCTTTGAATCCGAGTGTTGTTACTCTGGGCGAAAACGAGCTGTGCCTTAATCGGGCCGGGTTCCTGGAGCGGTTCACAAATGCACTGAATTACTACTCGTTAGTTTTCCAATCTTTGGAACCGAATATGCCCCGAGACTCGCCGGAGAGGCTACAGGTGGAAAGACTGTTGCTTGGCCGGAGAATATCTGTGATGGCGGGCCCCATTGAATCTGAGGCATATAGTAAAGAGTGCAGTAATGATACTGATGAAGATAAAGAACAATGGATGGTTCTGATGGAAAGTGCAGGTTTTGAACCGTTAGCCCTTAGCCATTATGCAATGAGTCAAGCTAAACTCCTTCTCTGGAACTATAATTACAGTTCATCTTATGGGCTTATAGATTCTCCTCCTGGATTTCTCTCCTTAGCTTGGAATGATGAACCTCTCCTCACTGTTTCTTCATGGCACTGAATGGATTTGAAAAACAAACTGTGGATTTTTCTACCGCTGGTCTTTCTCTGTTAACTCTTCCACTAAATCCCAAAGTTGATGTTTTTTTACGAGAAAGATGTAGTTTAGTTCGAGAATTTTGAGCTCTTTTAGTTTAGAAAAACCACTCCAGATGTTTTATTAGTTTTTGCATCTATGTTCATATCTTTGGTGCCTTTTTTGCCCAGTTTTTTTGTTATGGTTAAGTAAAAGAGTTTATGATCTTCTGCACCTGTTTTTTTGGAGGTGGATTGAAATGCAGGAAACAAAATTGAGTTTTAACTGTGCATATGTATTGATTTGCTATTAATATTTGGGTTTAAGATTGCTTCTTTGGTTCTGCTTTTCTGTCATTATAGAAGTCCAAGAAGATATCCTTGTGTCTAATAGATTGCTTCTTAGCCAATTCACTACTGTATTTATCTGTTCCACAAGACATTGTTAGTTTACTACTGAAAAGATTTTTATTTTTTGATCATGGATTTCAAATCTGTATTAAATTCTACAGAGTAATTTTATACTTGAGATTCAATAGAACTTTTGACTCATGCTCTAAATATTTAATTTTAATTTGTGAGTAGTTTAAATATTGTTTGGTATTGATTTTATCTTCAGTTAATTAACTTCGTTAAGTAAAAGTGTGTGTTAAATGTTGAAATTTAAATACTCCTTATTGTTTTGAATTGACTTTATCACCAGCATTAACTTTGATCATTTAAAGTACTCGTATGTGTTAAATGTGGAATTGGCCCTGGTCTTATGATGTCATTGATTGGGTAGCATGATTTGGCTTCTTATTCTGCTTAAAAGCACAGTAATCAATAATTTCTGAATATGTCCTCTTTATGAGTTTTGTTTTCCTTCCGCTGATAATTATTCTACCAAACTTGGTTTGAGGATTGTTGCTTGCACGGCAGGGGAAATTAAGGGCAGTAAGTAAAGTAAATTAAGAAAAGGGGAAAAGATGTCATTTTCAGCCAGGTTCTGAAATGGGGTTGACAAAGACTTCTAGGTGATCTCTTCTGGATTTCCAATTTCCCATTCCTTTTTAAAGGAGGGTGAAAATGGGGGATGGATGTCACTATCGACCTGCAAATTAAGGCGGACAGCTTAGATAAAGGCTATTGTGGGTTCAATGTTAAAAGTAGAAATTTTCTATTTTGTGTTCACTGTATGCATGAGCTACTCCGTATATGCATTCAGTCTACTCTTCTGCAGCTGCTTCTTCTGATCTCTGAATTCTGCAGTCTGGATTAGGGGTGGTTCGGTACGGTATACCTTATATTTTTTCTCATACCTTTGCCGTACCAAAACTTTCGGTATGCAAAATTTGCATACCTTTACCTTACCGAAGTTTCGGTATACCGCATTTCGGTATACCGAAGTTTCGGTTCGGTAACGGTACGGTATCGGTAAATTACCGTGCATGTCTCCCAATACAAAAAATTATCATAGACTAACGAAATATATTAAATCGTTATTACTAGTGACATGTTAAATCTATTATTAAAATGTTACAAAATACAATTAATAATCTATTGATGTCAATTCAATATCGAACAATAATTATTATTATTGTTAGTATATTTAAGCAGTTCAACATTCCGCATATTAAAAAGTAACATTCTCCTAAAATAACTTGAACAATATAGATATAATTAAATCAACAGTGATCTCTAACAAAAATAAATAAAACTATTCAAACAACATGGATATAAAATCATTTATTTCTAATATGATATTGTGTATTTAGTCATTTTTATAATTTTTTAAAATTTGAATAAGACTTTCGGATAAAGTTGTGTGTCTCGACTCGCGGAATCCCTATGTAGATACACTTGTCACATAAGTGTATCTCTCTTCACTTGTCAGCTACTTAGCGGCTCAACAATCACGACTTGCAAGATCTTGGAACAAGATGGACTTGTTTCTTGACATTTGCACATTAGTCATTAGTCATTAAGGTTAGCGTAGTAGAAGCCTATAAGGTTATAGTGGGTTTGAGAAATTGGGCCTTTATTTTTGTATTTTTGTATTTTTGTATTTGTAACCAACTTAAGTATTAATTTTGGACCCTCGAAAAAAAAAAGTATTAATTTTGGGCTTCAAAATTGTAATGGATTTCTACAATATACTATCCTCCGTTCTATAATTCTTGCAACAGTTTGACTTTCATGTTTGCCAATGCACAACTTTGATTGTAATTATATTTAATTATGTATTAGTAAACATTATAAAAAGTTGATATTTTGGAAATTCACATTGATAAGAGTTCAATAACATTTTATACATAATAATTTGATTATGTGTATTAGTAGAAAATCATGGTCAAAGTACGATCTGTGAATAATGTAAAAATCACAATGTTGCAGGAATTATAGAACGGAAGAAGTATTAGAATTAAAAGTAATTGTTGAGTAGGGAGTCGGTACGGTATTATACCGGTATACCGCGGTATTTGAAAACATTTACCGTTACCGTACCGAAATAGATCGGTACGGTATGATACCGTACTGAAAATGACGGTATACCAATATTTCGGTATTTTCCGGTATTTTTCGGTACGGTAAGTGCGGTATACCGATATTTCGGTATTTTTGCCCACCCCTAGTCTGGATAGCTCTGTGACACTAAATCTAATTATTTATATGATGTGAAATATTTTAATTTTTAAAATGGAACTATTTTTTCGGAAATAGTGACTGGGTAAAATCCTAGAGAGACGTTTTGAGGATTTTTAGGGTAAAAAAGTAAAACCCAAAAATCCAAAATAAATCAACAAGAACCCCTTTAAAATTATTTACTCCGTATTTTTTTTTATAGTAAATGCATAATAAGAGTATTATACTCTGTAGGGATTTTGTTGCTGTGACATGATACACCGTACGTTTGGTAACCCTGAAAGTGACCGAATCTATTGATGACAGAATTTATTGAAGTCTGAAATTATGGATGAAGCCGTTGAATTGATGATATTTGCTAAACTATGAAAACATTATTATTAAAATATATTTTATTTATAAAATTAAGGAAAACTACATGAAAAATAGATAAAAATGTATTCTAAGTAATTTCAGTCAATTCAGTCAGAAATGTAATTTCAACCTTACTTATTTCAATTATTATACAATCCAATATTTTGAGATTGATATTAGTTTAAATAAAAACATCATAATAAATACATAAGAATATAAGTATATTTTTACTTGGACTGCAATATTCTGGTCTGATTAGGTCTACAAAACGTTTGGTCTCTGTATATTTTATAACTATCCAAGTTTGATCTAGTCTGATCTGGTCTGATCTAGTCCGAGATTAAAAACATTTCAAGTAAAAACATTATAAGACCTCGAAACCTCATTCCCAATTTGTGAATATTGTACACATGGATGACTAAGATATATATTGTGTACTCAGGCTTCCCAGAGCTTAAATCTCTCCCAGAGCTTAAATCTCTCCTCAAACTATAAGCACTTAGGCTTCAACTCACCCTGTGGGGGAGCGGAACATTTCCGGAAAAGAAGCAAAATGAAAGAAATGTGCCATATCACTGTCCTTTTGATCCAACCATCTCAATATAATGCCCTTGTAGTATTCAGTAGGTTAGGGAAGCAGTCGTGCCATATCCGAGGACATCTAAGACAACTATAGAGTTGAACGAGCATATATGTAGAATCGTCAAGGTAGGGTAAAGAGGACATGGTGTCAATGACGAAGACGAGCATGGGTGAGCATACAGGCAAGGCCGAGAAACATATACAAAGAGCGAGGAACAAGACGACGAGGGAAATTAAACATGCGATGGTTCCTGCAAACAAGATCTAAAATGGTTTTAATGATGCCGAATTGAGAAAGTTATTGAAAAGATCGAAGACCTACAACGATGAGTAGATGCAAGAAACTAACACGTTGACAACAAATAAGTGAAGACGATGAGCCCGTTTATCATATGAATCGTAGCATTGTCCCAAGAAGCTGGTTGTAATTCACCCCAAATCAAATCCCATGGGGAATGTGAGACCCCTAAGATCATTTTCACCTTGTTATGCTAATACGATAATGGTCGGGTGTCGATATAAATGATTTGTTGATGTTTCTTGGCTTCATTAGAAGAAACTATGTGTGGGTGGTTGAGTTCTATTTCCCATGGCTCCATGATTGGGGGGACTAAGCACGAAAGTGTCTCCAATACTCTGCCCGAGCAAAAGATCAAAGAGAAACTAGGATGTTTTTACTTGGACTGTAATTTGCTGGTCTGGTCTGATCTGGTCTAGTCTGGTCTGGTAAGGTCTGGTAAGGTGTTTCTTTGTATTTTTATAACTATCCAAATCTGGTCTGGTCTGGTCTGGTCTGGACTGGTCTGGTCTGGTCTGGGACAAATTACAGTCCAAGTAAAAACATTCCTAGTCACGTGTTGATATGTGCTATTTATTAGTGCGTAAACACCACATTCTAGAATGGTTTTACGTTGTGTTTACTCAACTTTGGTACAATTATAATGTAATCTTTATCTTTTAAATAAAACTAGAAATAGAAGATATTAAGAGATTTTGACATGTAAGTAGGGGTGGACCCGGGCCGGTTCGGGCCTGGGCCCGGCCGGGCCTCGGGCCAGAAAAATGGGCCCCGAGCCCGAACCGCCGGTGGCCGGTTCCGGTTCCGGGCCAAACCGGGCCGGGCCGGTTCACCTAAAGCAGGGCCCGAGCCCGGACCGCCCATCACCCGGGCCGGGCCAAACCGAACCGATGGACCCACCGGGCCCCGGGCCGGGCCAAACAGTAATCGGGCCGGGCCGGTTCCGGGTTGGGCCGCCCGGCCCGAGTCCACCCCTACATGTAAGTAAGAAACATGATGAAAAGTAAGATAGAGGAAGGAGCTTGGGAGCACAAGGAGTTTGGAGACAAAATGAAGCTTCATGGGAGACAAAGAAATGTGAAAAATCTGATTTTATCAATACCTGATGTGATATATTGACATACCTGATTGGGTATTACTTGATTCGGGCGTCCAAATAAGATTTTGGAGAACAAAACAACGCGCATGGAGTTTTTGATGATTTGGCTTATATCCAATCAGATATACCTACATACCCGATCGAGTATGACTGTAAATGCCACTCTTAGGGCTACTGTCTAGGATACCCGATCGAGTACCTTATATAGCCGGTCGGGTATCTGACCTTGCCAGCTCCAAACCCCTATAAAACACTTCTTTCCTTCCCATTTGAAATACACAATCAATTCCCTCTTTCATATAGACTTTATTTTTGTAATTTATATTGAAGCTCGTGGTTTGTAAGTTGTGAGTTATTTTTTTATTCGCCCTGTTTAATATTAATTACTTCCCTATTCGTAATTCATATTGATATTTGAGCATCGCAAAATGATCAATTAGTTGATGTTTTCATATTAATTATTGCTAAAATCGGCCAGTGAATACGCTTGTTATTCGCTTGATCCTTTTGTAAGTAGTAAATTGATATTACCAATGCATGCATCTCATGGTAAATAATGTAAGAGGGAGTAATTATATTTGTTAAATCAAAAAACCGCTTGTGTCGAAGTTGTCAATTGATTTCATTATACGATCAATAATGAATTAGAAAAAATAGTTGGACATGAGATTCTCGTGTTGACAACCGAGAATACTAACCTAGGGTTACAAGGTATCATTCTTAATTGACTTCATTAAATCAAGACCTAATGCTACTATATATTAAGATCAACATATGACGCTTGTTCTCTATTGATTATTCTAAAAGTATGAATTATTAAGGAACATGTCTCGTTATTAGGGATGGACCCGGGCCGGTCCGGTTCCGGTTCCGGGCCGGGCCCGGGCGGGCTTTTTTTCGGGTTACATGGGCCCGGAACCGGCCCGGGTTGATACCGGGTCCGGGCCTAACCGGGCCGGGCCGGGCCCGGTTCAATGTTTTTTTTTTTTTTTTACTTTCTTGTTATCTCCCTACCCCCCCCCTCACCCCCACGCCCCAAACCTCCCTAAAACACCCAGCCCTACCCTAGGAAAAGAAAAAAAATTGAAAAAACCAAAAAAAAAAAAAAAATGAACCGGGCCCGGCCCGAACCGCCCGGGCCGGTTCAACAAAAATAGGGCCTGATACGTTTGTAATTTCCGTATGTTTATTTACGTTTTTAGTTAGTTTTGATTGTTTAATATTTCGGAAATTACACACTTTCGGTGTAATAGTTTAGTTTGTTAAATTCTTGTAATTTGTTTAGATTAGGTTTATTCTGAGCTTAAACAGGTCCAAGATCAATCAAATGATCAATGGTGAAGGAAGGTGCAAGAGTACAAGACAAAAAGAAGGAAAAATCCTGATTTTGGTCTATACTCGGTCGAGTATATACATATACTCGATCGGGTATCTGGTTGACATTTCAAATCGGATCGGATCCGAAAACAAAGGAACATGCAGGAGAAGATTTTCCCACGTTCGAGTGTCTATACCCGATCGGGTATACTTATATACTCGATCGGGTATACATATAAAATCTACTCGAGTATTGATCGAGTATTGACCAAATTCTGATTTCTATACATACTCGATCGAGTATGTATACATACTCGATCGAGTACTCGATCCTGCACCTCAAAAAGCCTATAAATACACCTCCTTTCCTTCACTTTTAGGACACCAATTCCTTTATACTCTTAAGCTCAGTTTAGAATAGCATTTCTTTATATTTCTTTTAGCATGTTTAGTCTCCAAATGAGGAGCTAAACTTCCATATCTTGGTATTGCTCTTGAAGCTTGTTGATTATTAAAGTTGTGAGTTATTTTCTTAACTTCTTTTCCTTGAATATTAATTCTTCCTTTAAATGCTATTTCTATATCAATGTTGGGGAGTGTTGCTAAGATGACAATTAGTTAACATCTTGACATTAGTTATAGTAATAGTCATTTCTTCCTCTATGTTAATATTGGGGAGTGTTACTAAGATGACAATTAGTTAACATCTTGATATTAACTGTAGTAGGATTCATCTTCTTTAATATTCTTCCTTGAGTATCAATTAATTCCTATTCATATTTCATATTAATATTTTGAACATTACTTAAAGGATCAACTAGTTTTGTTTCATATATTAATTACTACTAGATACGATCAACGAACCAATGGTTAATCGTTGATAGTTTCACAAGTAAGTAACTTCGGTCTATTAATGCACGGTTGTGGTTAATAGATTTAAGAGGAATTAATTGTGTTGGTTAAACCAAAACCGCTTGTGTTGAGGTTATCGATCTAAATTGATTTCATCAAGGAGTTAAGCGATTAAATGCTACTATCAAGTCGGTATACGGCGCTTGTTCTATACTTGACTAATAGTAAGGGTTATTAATGAACGGTCGTTGTTAATAACTATCCTCGATGAATTGGATATACTCCTCGATTGAGTATTCGAGAGGAGATAAGTTATAGATATAACAATGATCGACTAAAATATATCAACAAGTGGAAAGTAGCAATGCCAAGTCACTTTTATCTTTGAATTAAATCCCATATAACTCGTTCATCTTCGTGTTTAATTTAATTAAATCACTCAACAATCAAAACCCCACCCCCCCTTTTTACTTACTATTTACATAAAAAGAAAGTTATTCCTTTCCCTGTGGATACGAACTCTACTTCACCTATACTACGTATAAGTGCTAGTGTTGAATTTATTTTGAGTGCACTCACGACAAAGTGCACATCAGGGCCCGGAACCGGCCCGCCCGACCCGCCAACACGGGCTAAAAGCCCGGAACCGGCCAACCGGGCCCGGTCCGGTCCGGGCCCGCACAGTAGCGGGCCGGTCCGGTTCCGGGCCGGTTCGGCCCGGCCCAGTCCATCCCTACTCGTTATTAATAACTACTCTTTATGAATTGGACGATTTAATCTGCACAATTAAGAAACGGTCTCTCCAACGCATAAAGGGTTGTGTGTAACACCGCCCCCAAGTATTTGTACTTTATCAAATTATGTATTGAACCCGAGAAATGAATAAACGCATTTTACGTGATTGTGAATTTTTATCATTTCTTTTACGTGAATAGTAAAATTCACGTAGGGCCCACACCGGAAGTGGGGGCCGCCCGATATGTTCGGGACCACATATTATATTCATTGGGTCAAGGTAACATGTGTATAATGGTGGGCATCCTTGTTGGACCATATAAATTATGTGAGAGACCGTTTGGGCATATAAAGCGCATTTATCGGTACTGAAGGAATATCAGATAAAAAGCCATAATAAATTATAGAGACCATCAAATTAAAGATGGGGAATATACATTCATTCTTATAGCCCATAATCATTGGAAGAATGATAGATATCTCATTTTACCCGATAAAATGAAATACAATTAAAACAGTCCGGAAAATACAACTTTCGGGACCGAATGTACACTCGGGGACACAAAGGGATGACCACCCATCTAAGTGGGGGCCATCCCCACGTTTTTAGTCTACAAATGACCAGGGGGAGCCTCACAAGGAAATGGGAGAGGGGGCATGAATGGATTGGGATCAAAATAATAAAATAAATGGGACCCCTCCCATGTTATTATTGGGAGAAATGCCAAAAAGGCATTGTCTATCATCCTCACTCATTGAAGCTCGGCCATACCATCATCTTTGGGAAGAGAAGCTTTGAAAATACTCCATAGCATCCACCATTCACGCACCAAGAGCAAGGGAGGAAGAAGGAAGGAAGAAAGGGAAGAGAAAAGAGGAGTTTAGGTGGGAAAACTTGGGGTTAATAAGGTAATGACTTCATTAATCTCATTTCTTCTCTTTAATCATATTTCATACCCCTAGGATAGTTCTACACATGTAAAAGTGTAGAATGGGGGTTGAAGGTTTGTTTAAACCCAAAACGAGCTTTGAGAGCAAAGTTGGCGGGTTCGTCGGAAAATAACCGGCCTTTTAGAGGTTATTTGTGGTGATATGGGTTTTATGATGATAAAACCTTGTTATTAACTTGTATAAGGTATCTCAAGAACTTTCACGGGGTTGAAAGGGTCGCCAGAGTTGTCGCCGGAGTTAGTTGAAGTTCACCGGAGTTTCACCGGAGCTCAATAAGGAAGGCTAGAACTTCATAAGCTTCTTTAAGGTGAGAAGACGGCTATATGCTTTATAACTTTTGCGTAAGGCATGAGATTACCTAAAGTAATCAAAAACATTTTTTATGGAATGATTAAAGATAATCAAGTAATTGCTTATGCCATGTTTAACCATAAAACATAGTTGAAAAGCATGTTATGTATGTTTGATGATTTAAAATGTGATAACTTATAATGTACAATATTCCAGGGATCCAAAATGGTATTTTTGAATCAAGGATGACAAGAAGTACATGTGTATAAAATTTCACGTTAATCGGACTTCGTTTGGGCAGTCAAACGGGCATTGACCACCGAGACAAAGGTGATACCCGACCGGGTATGGGTATATACCCGACCGGGTATTGATTAAAAATGGCTCCAGAAGCCACTGCCACACTAGACCCGACCGGGTAAGGTCATGGACCCGACCGGGTCTCAAGTGAAATTTGCATCCAGGGGCTACTGCCCGCCCTACCCGACCGGGTAAGGTTTGATACCCGACCGGGTATTGGGTTATACTCAAAACGGGTAGTTTTTGAGTAGGATAACATGGACCGATCAGGTGGGACCCGTCCACGTTGGTTACTAAGGATTGTTACAAGACTATAGAACTAGGTATTGTCTATAGTTAAGTGAACGAAAGGTTAGCCATATCCAAGTTAGGATTGGTAAGGAATAAGGTTGAGGTTGAGTACCCTCGGGACGGTTAACGATCCCAAAACTCGGTGAGGTTGAGCATCCTCGGGACGGTAAACAATCCCAGAAACTCGGTGAGGTTGAGTATCCTCGGGACGGTAAACAATCCCAGAAACTCGGTGAGGTTGAGTATCCTCGGGACGGTAAACAATCCCAAGAACTCGGTGAGGTTGAGTATCCTCGGGACGGTAAACAATCCCAAGAACTCGGTGAGGTTGAGTATCCTCAGGACGGTAAACAATCCTAAAACTCGGTGGGGTTGAGCATCCCCGGGACGGTAAACACCCCCGAAACTCGGTAGGATATTGTGAAGGTAGAATGTAGCTCGTGAGCTAGGCATTCAGGAAAGAAAGGAGAAAGGTTGGGTAAACACCTTATCTCT